TTGGAATAGATATTGGTTGTGTGTTGTTGCATGAGACCATTGCATATGCATATAGGTGGGGAGTAACCTCTGTAGGAAAAGTTTTACTGAGCGTGGCTCACCCTATACGGGAATACATTTCAGGTGCGGGATTTGTATCGGTAAAGGACTCGCATTCGAGGCCTCAAGGTTGAAGAAAATCCGGATTGTGGCTTTACAAAACAAGTTTTGTATAAAAACTTAGGTTATATTCCATTTTGAATTGTAATTATATGAAATGAGTTGTAATAGCTTTGTATGGATCATGTTTTATGCGATAAACATCATTATATATGTTTGAAATGATGTTGGGGTAGTTTGGAATGACTTGGACATGAAAATTTGATGAAACAGGAAATTTTGGGAATTCATTAGAGCGTACCGATACTGTGTACCGGTACGCTAAACCTCCTGGAGTTCGACGTACCGGTACATTTTTTTACTCCAGACTAGTTTTCGTAGAATCGTCATAACTTTTGATCCAACCGTTGGATTGAGCTAAAATTGTGACACAATATAGAAGACATCTAGATCTAAAACTTTCCTGTTTTGAACTTTTCTATATTTTCAGTAGATCATGGTCAAAATAGAAAAAAACTGAGATACTTCCACCAGATGGTGCTAGTGTTGGTGACTTTGTTACCAAACACCAATACCTCCTTGATTTCTTCACTTCTAAACCTCCAAATCCTCATGAAATGTGTCCATATCTTCACCACACATCCAACATAGTTGCAAGATTATCAAATACATGTAAATGCATTGAAAATTAAAAAAGGGTGAAAAAGACAAACTGGACAAAGCGTACCGGTACGGTACTGTCCAGAGAGTTTAGCATACCGGTACACTCCCTCAAACTTTAAAAATTTCTTATTTCTTGCTATGTCTTTGGACCTTAGTTCCCTTGACACAAATGGACCTTAAAAGAGATATATTTAGGTATATTGAACCTTTATAAGAGTAAATAAATAACGAAACACGAGCAACACGTGTGAGTTAAAATCTCAGGTATTGAGATATTATTAGTGAGATGTCGGCTCAAGTGACACTCACGGGCATTCCGCGGGTTGACGGGTTGTCAACGGGACTCCCGGTTTTAAGGGCGTCACAATTACTATCCTAAAACAACTGAGTCTTCGTACGTGAAGGTATTGACGAACACCAACAGCTCCAAGATTCAACCAGGGCCGGCCCAACAGTATGGAAAAAATAATTTTAGATACATCACTACCCCACAAAAAAAAATTAAATCTATTAAATTTTAAGCCCTACAAAAAAACCCCTAAAATTTAAATTCAATCAAAATTTTTATTGCAATAATTTGAGCATATAATCCAATTCATAACATTAATAACTTAGAAATTAAAAAAATACTTAAAAGTCAATTCATATTTACTTCCACCCCACTTTCTCTCTCTCTCTCTCTCTCTCTCCGGTAAAAAAAATAAAAAAAAATTAAAATTAAACACTCTCTCTCCTCTCTATGGTAAAAACAAAAACAAAAGTTGAAATCTCTTTCCCGACAATATTAACACATCAGTCTTTTGTCTCCCTCTCACATAGAAAATTAAAAATAAATTAATTTTTTTTAAAAAATAATATTAAAAATAAAAATATCTCTATTTAATGTTTCTGTTTTAAGCTTCAAATTAGCTTGAGTCATCCTTGAATTCAACACAGACCCTCGTAACAATACTTCTTCAATGGTCACATCCACTATTAGGTTAAAGTGAACTTCATTCAAATCGAATTGTCAAAAATAAAAATAATAAATGATAATTAAATAAATATATATATAAGTGTGTGTGTGTGTGTGTGTGTGTGTTGCTGACATCTTACGGTGGGAAAAAATAACATCAAAAGTCAAGTAGGATATGGAATCGAGATGGTGAAAGTCTATTGGATAGACAAGAATAACTAAGCTTATGTGAAATACTTGATTGAATATGTTGTCAAGAAGAGTTAACCAGGAATGTGCTCAGGGACGACTTATATAGCCACCGGGTGTGTAACCTACATATGAGGACTTTTCAATTTTTGACCGTTTGGCCTTGATTAGTCATAAAACCATTTTAAGGTCAATAATTGTTATTATTGAATATACACAATAAATACGACCAAAAATTTGCAACTAAAAATTCAAAATTTAAACATAATTAAAATAAAAAATTCAATAAAAGTTTTAAAAAATTTAATTTTACTCTTGCAAATAATGATTTCATTCATTCGAGTTCATACATATACTATTTTCATTTGTTCAAGTTACAAATCAATCGAAATTGGTGTCTCTTTCTCTATAAATGAATATTGAGTTTAGTAGTTATGACCCCCAATTTTGTTTAATATTCTATGTTATTATTTTTCATGGTGAGCATGTTACTTTTTTTGTTTGTTCAATGTTTAATGTTACTAAATTTGTTCAAAAAATATGTTCGATGTTACTATTTTTTTAAATATTATTATTATTTTTTATTTTTAAATGTTACTATTTTTTTATCATCAGTTGTCCATGTTTGTTTGACCCTCAACTTTGTTCAATGTTCCATGATACTATTTTTTTATTGATCATGTTACTATTTTTCTTGTTGCACATATTATTATTTTTGTTAATCATGTTACTATTGTTATTTTTTCAAATATTAATATTCAATGTTACGATATTTTGTTTTTAAATATTAGTATTTTTTGTATTTGAATGGTACTATTTTTATTTTGAATTTTACTATTTTTATTTTGAATGTTACTAATATATATGAGAGAGGAAAAAATAGTCCTAATATATATATGGATTTTAGGAGTTTGTTAATTTTCAAATTTGATTTAATAAAATATATCTACTAGGAGTATTTTGGACAATGATGATTAAAATTGACTTATTTCTAAACAAGTTTTTTTGTGTGGACTTAAGTGTAAATAAGTTAACAAAAGAGGATCGGCATCCAAAATTCTATTTTTAATTATGAGTTTGACTTGGGCCAAAAAATTCTAACATGAATTAAATTCGGACAATTCTTGAGTTGTGGGTCGATAATTTTAACCCGAGCCTGAATTCGAATTTACGAAATTGGGTTGAAACCAAATTCAACCAGATTTTCAACTTGAAACTGACAAAAAAAAAAAAAAAAGAATATCCAAAGTATACACATGCATATATAAAAGATAGGGAGAATTACACTTAAACTCCATGAAATTTGTCACTTAATCATTCAGATATTTTGACATTTGAAATCTTACACATAGACCCCATAAAATTTGTACGTGCATAACATTTAGACCCCTGCCGTCAATGTCCATTAGTATATTCATTAGTAAATTACATTCAGACCTCCTGAAGTTTATAAGCATGTAATACTTAGATCTTTCAAATTTAAAATAATATACAGAGACAAAAAATACATTAAACAAAGATAGAATATCAAATATTTTAAATTTTACGACTAAAATTCATGTTCTATTATAACATTTATTGAAATAAAATCAAAAATTAATTTTTTCTTAAAAAATCATAATTAGTATTCAATTATACTATCTATTAGAATTTAATTTGGTCATTTAAATGACCAAATTACCCTAATTAAAGTTAGAATATGTTGTGTCAATTCCAATTTGACCCCTTGTTTAATTTTTAAGTTTTATTCCAATAGATAGTATAATTGTATTCTAATTATGATTTTTTAAAAAAAATAAATTTTTATTTTTGATTTTATTTCAATAAATGACATAATAATACATGAATTTACTAATAGATATACAAACGGACATTTGATGCTAGGGGTCTAAGTGTTACACACGTACAAATTTTAGGGAATCTGTGTGTAATATTTTAAATGTTAAGGAGTTTGAGTAATTAAGTGATAAACAAAAAAACATCTAGGTGTAATTCTCCCTAAAAGATATTAGGGCATCTAACATGTATGTTTGAAAGTTTATTTTTTTTTTTTTTTTTTGTAATTTTGTTTTGCTTAATGAAATATTTATTGAGGCTAGGTCTAATTTTAGGGATCAAAACTAAACTAAATTATTGTTTAATTTGGTTTGATTAATAAGAAATTCTATTTTAATTCGAGTTTAACTAGAATTACAATCGATCTTATGAAACACACACTCAACCATAGTTCAAAAATTTAATTATGAGTTGAACTTGGATTGTAATTGCTCGGATTTGAACTCAGATTGGGTTGGACTCAAATTAAAAGGTTTCCTTCTTATTTTTGGTCTGGGCCCCAAATTGACCTTGCACCCCTAACTAAGATCTTGGGGAAGTTAAAGTTAAGGTATTAATCTTAAGCTCAATGGCTAGTAAGTTTGCCACAATTTCAGGTTGAGAAAACTTGTAAACATTTTAGTTGAAACAGAAAGACTAGAAATTCAAAAAATAATCAAACTTTCAATAAAAATAATCAAACTTTTAACAAAAATTCTCTAAAACATGAATAATCAATGATAGAATCAAATTCTAGAAACTCAATTTTTTTTAAAAAAAATCTATAAGGAAAAAAGAGAATAGAGACAAGTACAAACAAGAACTAATTGGTGCCGCACCTACTCGAATTGCAATACACATTGATTGAGTTTGACATTTTTACAAAACGGGATTAAAAATTAAATTAAATTTTATTTATTTCATAATTTGAGCAAAGTCTAAACAAACAAAAAACCAATCAAACCGAGTCGAGTTCAGTATTTTAGCACCTCACTCAAAGGCCTCTTTTGCTGGGTACTAATGCATCCAGTTATCAATTCAATAACCATAATGTACTATATAGACATTTCACTCTAGGCAAAAAAATGGACTTTCTCTCCTACCTCTCATCTAAGTATGTCCAACTAGAAGACTACTAAACAGGAGGTACAGAAAATGCTCAACTGATAGAACTCAAAGTTTACAACTTTATAGCACAAAAAATCTTGCCTTTTAACATCAAGATATGGAGTCCCAGATATCACAGGTAAGAACTCATGAGCTCACTCGTAAAAAAGAACTATCGAGCAGTTGGCTGTGAGATGGAGTCATCGATTGACAAAGAATTATCATTTGCACCAAAATCCAGTGAACTCATGTTTATGGAAGAATGCACAGAAAGCCTTGATATATCATCAGAGCTGCCTTCTCTCACTGCCTCTGCTCCCCTCTCAATTGAGATTGCATCTTGGATTTCCTTAATAACATCTGATATTGAAGGCCTCATACTCCCATGAGGTTGAACACACATCAAAGCTTTCTCGGCTATCTTCCACATGGATTGTATGTCATATTCGTTACGTAGTGAGGGGTCAATAATTCCTTGAATGTCCCCACTCTCAATATGTAACTTGGCCTGTGATAGAATATGCAGTTAATAGTTCTTTGAAGACAAAAATTTTAAAAAGAGGAAAGGATGCATATGAAACTTTTCCCAGCTATATGACAGTCTTGGTGGGAATTTTCAAGTTTTTATCTATCAAGAATCAAGAGATGGCACTACTAGCACGAGTGTGATAATTCACTTCCATAGAATAAGCGGAACCAAAAAATTGGAAAAGGGAAAAGAAAGATACATTAACATGATTTCACATGCACCATAATACATATGAAAATTGAACCCTCTAATTACCCAGCTAACTGATTATTAGACTTTCGAGATTCATATTGGTTATAAAACTATTCAAAGATTCAGCCTTTTAAGTTTAACGGAACTTACCCACTGGACTATATTACGACAGTTAACACCAAAACTTTCATTAGATATCGCTTCTTGACCAGATATCAGCTCAAGAAGAATGACCCCAAAACCATAAACATCACTCTTGTCTGTTAACTGCTGGGATATGTAATATCTGTGTAACACGAAAGCAGAATTTACATTAGAATAGAAATGTGATATAATTCCAAAATGCTACCGAAACATGTTCTGGGCACTATGATAAGCAGGTATTCGTATTGGAGGCCTAATATTTCCACAATTCCTGATTGATATGAGAGGTACAAAGATGAAATAATGCGTGCCTGGTAAACTTCTCATAAATACAGTGATAACATTGGATGTACCATTTTCAAATTTATGAGAAAAAGGCTTACTCGGGATCAAGATAGCCAACAGTGCCTCGAACTATACTTGACACATGAGAAGTTCCATCCACAGCAAGTTTTGAGAGACCAAAATCTGAAACCTTTGCTCTCATGTTCTTGTCAAGAAGAATATTGCTGGTTTTCAAATCCCTATGGATGATGGATGGAACACAGCCAGTATGAAGATATTCAATCCCTGAAATAAGCGCAAAAAACACAAGGATCCAAGTAATTCCTCTCAAGTAAAGGAGATGCTTCTCTGTCAACCCAACTGAACACTTTCATGTGTAGTTCAAATACCTTTTGCAGCATCTTCAGCAATCTCAAGGCGATTAATCCAATTAATATTTTGTTCAGCGGTTAATGGTCCTGCCAAAATTCATGTGCATTTTAGCAAGATCAAAGTACTTATGTTTCTCTCTTTTTTGGGGTTTACCCCCATTTTTTTTTCCTGTTGAGGACGGGGGGTTGTGGAGGAGAGATTACCATAAAGATGTTCTTTGAGAGTTCCACTATGCATGAACTCGTAAACGAGGATACTTTTCCCTCGTCCTTGGCAATAACCAAGAAACTGTACCAAGTTTTTGTGATGTATTCTTGAAAGGAGGGTGACCTAACACAAAGCCGTAAATGTTAGTTCAGAAGAACCAGAATAACATGCAAACTAAAAAAATTCAACATAATGCAGGAAGATTCAGTTATTCTATTAAGGAATTGCATTGAATTACTATATAGAGATAAGTGAAACAAGTATTTGCGAGCTGGAAACTCAATCAATATATTTTCATTACAATAGAATGACCTGTATCTCCATGGAGATTTGTGGTTCTTCCTTCATATGTTTTGGAGACTTCGGGAGCACCCAGAGGTTCTCTAATGCACATGCAGTGAGTTTTAAAGGCACTTTCCTGGTTTTAATTTTTATTTGCCTCAGCTGCCTCATCCTGATGGGGATTGCACCTCCACTTTATAAATAGAGTCCCATAACAGTGGTTTGTGATAAAATTAATCAATGAGAATAGAGAAGAGAGAGTGAAAGACTAAAAGCAAGTCTGTAATACACATCTTAAACCTAGAAATACATAAAGAAAGTCTTATATAGTACGGCAACACAGCATCAAGAAAATGCCTAAACTACCATTAGTATTAATACTCTAACACCCCCTCTCAAATTCATGATTTGGCGGAAAACATCAAGAGTTTGCTAAGAAGAAATCGAAAACGTGCTATGGTATGAGACTTCGTAAAAAAATCCGCTATCAGCATTGTGGAAGAAAGAAAGGGGAGAGTGATGGTGCCCGCTACAAATGATGATGCACAAAGTGACAATCAATCTCGATATGTTTTGTGCGCTCATGGAAGACAGAGTTATGAGCAATCTGAATAGCATTGGTGTTGTCGTAGAACATAGGAGCAGAAATGTCAAGATCAGCAACGAGCCATCGTAATCCGACTATCTCAGTTGTAGTAGATGCCATAACACGATACTTAGTTTCAGCAAAAAAATGAGCAACAACAGTTTATTTCTTACTTTTCCAAGAAATAAGAGAATCCTCAAGAAACAGGCAGAAACTAGTGGTGGACTTGCGATCCATAAAGTCATCAACTCAGTCAGCATCACAATAAGCCTTGAGTTCCATAGATGAAGAATGAGAAAATAGTAAACTCTGATATAGAGTACCACAGAGATACCGAAAAAAGTGAAGAACAACAGCCTAGTGAACGATGGTGGGTGAGCCAACAAATTGACTCACAATGTGAATAGCATAAGAGATATCTAGACGAGTGACTGTAAGATATATTAAACTCCCAACTATAGTGCGATAGAGGGTTGGGTTAGACAAGGGAATATCATCAAACGAAGAGTAGCGAACATTGAACTCTAAAGGTTTTTCAACTGTCTGATTATCTGATAAGCGAGCTCGGTATATAATGTCAAAGGCATAATTGGATTGAGAGAGAAGATAGCCTTTAGGAGAGGAGGCAATCTCAATGCCCAAGAAATACCTAAGCTGTCCCAAATCCTTCATCTCAAAATGATCTTGTAACTGAGTTTTTAATAAACATATACCAATAATGTTATCACCCGTAATAATCATATCATCAACATATAGTAAAAGAACAATAGAACCGGAGGAAGTAGACTATAAGAAGAGAGCAGAATCATGGTCATTGGTGAAAAAACCCAAGTCATAGATAATCGAAAAAAATTTGACAAACTATGCCATGGGAGCCTGTTTAAGACTATATAAGGCACTATGAAGTCGACATACTTAACTAGAACTATAAGATAATCCAAGGGAAAGTGTCATAAAAACCTCTTCAGTTAAATCTCTATGTAGAAATGCATTTTTCATATCCATTTGAGACAAACTCCATTGTCGAATGACAGCAACTGTAATCACGGTGCGAACAGTAGTCATCTTGGTAATGGAAGCAAAAATCTCCTCATAGTTTAAACCATATTCCTGAACAAATCTCTTGGCTACTAATCGAGCTTTATATCGTTCCACAGAACTATTCGACTTAGTTTTTTTCTTACAACCTATTGAAAATATAACAGTAGCCTAGTTTATTAGGGTTTATTAAGTTTTCCTTTTTACCGTTTTGTCCTTATTGTAACTTTTCATTGACTATCTACACGGGGGCTCTACACTTAGTTTGTATCCCTTTCACTTACGTCTATTTCAAGTTGATATTAGAGTCATAACCGTAACCTTAACCATAACCCTAACCCTAGCCCCTCCTCCACGTTGCAGCCACCAGCCACCCCACTACCACCAGACTGTTGCCACAAACTAATACCCAGCAAACCCAAGAAGCACCGAAACACCCAATACCATATAAACCGACTGCCCAACCACCCAAGCTCTCACTACTACATCACCAAAAACACATACCCAAGAAAACAAAGCCAAGAAAACACATACCCAAGAAAACAGAGCCATCGAAAACATACACCCATACCCACCGAAAACATATACCAAGAAAAATACATTGTACCGCTACCCCAAGCTCCACCAACAAACCCACTAGCAAACCCACTACCCTAAGACTGCTTCATCCACTCCACCGTCTACCAGACACCACCGACTGCAACCAAACAGTCAATAGAACAACCGAACAGCCAGACAACACCACAAACTCAATCATCGACTCATATTAAATCAAACCGAACCCAACCCAGACCACCCTAAACAGTCATATTAAATCAAACCAGCCCACTGCTGGGTCACTTACCACAGACTAGCCCACTCATCTGTATCACTGTTGGGTCGCGATTTTTGTGGCTTCGTCCTTCGCATTCTTTGTCACAGTGCTGCCAGGCCGCAGTATCTAGGACATTTTTAAGAGGGGTTGAATTCTCTTCTTCGTTGATATGCTCTTGATGCAGTAGATCATTTATTTATATTTATTGAATTTCTGGGCACCGTGACCTGATTATTTGGGAGATTTGTGGACCTCTTTATCTGTCGCTACTGTTCGTCTAGAGGTATATTGTTCTGCCTCATATTATCCCTCTATTTATCTTAGAGTTGTTTTTCTATCACGGGTGCTCTAGTATTGTTGTTGATATGACTACGACTAAGAGACCTGACACTTCTGCCGTTGAGACGTCTATTGGTACATTCACTTTTATATTTGACCAGTATATAGTACCTACTGACACAGTTGCATTACTAGCACTGCCAGACATGATCTCTCAGAAAGTTACGGCACAGTTGTTGAATGGCCGTAACTTCACTGAGTGGTCTCGCTCATTCCAATTTTTCTTAAGCCGTGTAGGGAAGCTTGGTTAGCTGACAAGATCTCGCCCAAAGCTAGCTATGCCGACCCTGGATATTCTGCGTGGTTCTCTAAGAACTGTGCCATTCTTGGATGGTTATTTGGCTCGATGAAGCCATTTGTTTGCAAGATTCACCAGTTTCATAGCTCTATTCTGAAGCTATGGAGCGCATTATTAGAAATGTATTCCCACTCAGGACAGGAGTTCGTGTTTATGAGCTATCTCAGGAGTTCTCATATGCTCGACAGAGAGATATGACTGTTCAGGATTATTATGGCTATTTGACACAGCGCTGACTTGAGTATGAGACTCTACGTCCTCTTGCTGCTATTCTGAGGATAGAGCCCGAGGGGAGCAACATTCTTGCATACTCGAGAGCAAGAGGATAGGATTCACAAGTTCCTTATGGGGCTTTGTTATGAGTCTGAGGGACGTCGTTCCTAGATCTTGTCGATATTGACACTTCCTTCTCTTTATGAGGTGTATGCGATGATTGAGCAGCATGAGTGCCGCGTCCGTATTGAATCACTTCCAGTTGCGGCCTTGACTCCTCCGGCTGATCATATGACCCTTGAAGCTGCTGCAGGATCTTGTTCCGGAGCCTCAGTTAGGTGTGGACAGCGCCATCAGGGTGCCCCAGATCAGCACAGAGAGGGGGATTCTCGTCAGTGTGATTATTGTGGTCGACCAGGACATCTCAGGACTACTTGCTGGAAGCTCCATCCAGAGCTTAAGCTGCCTTTTCGCGGCCGTACTACTGCCATTGCTGAGATACCACCACCTACTATCGCTACTCCTATTACTGCTCCTCCTTGGCAGAGTGATATGGATGGTATCACTTCCCGATTAGATATATTTATGTCCGCTCTGACTTCTCAGAGTCCGACTACTACTGCAGCCACCACTACAAGTATACCTCGTGCCTTTTATGCTTGTGCTAGTCCGTCTCCCCTTTGAATGCTGGACTCAGGTGCGAATGGTCACATGACAGGCGAGGCCCATCACTTCACCACTTTTGACGAGCAGTTACATACACAGGTTCAGTTAGCAGATTGGACACATGCCCCTATTGTTAGTAGGGGTACAGTCCGCCTCCCAGATGACTTTACATTACGTTCGATTTTTCATGTGCCAAAGCTGGCTATGAATCTATTATCTGTACATCAGTTAGCCAGAGATTTTCACTATGCGGTTGTGTTCTTATCTGATTTGTGTTATTTGCAGGACCTGAGTACCAGGAGGATTATTATCAGGGGACATGAGAGAGATGGACTGTATTATCTAGACGATCCGCCTCCAGTTTCATCAGTTCCTCCACCTACATCACCTGCACGTGCTGTCTTTATCTGTTCTTAGCTTGCATGCTAGTATTTTACCTAGTAATTCTCGTTATGATTTTTTGTCACAAACTGTTCAGTTGTGGCATGACCGTTTTGGATATACAAATTTTAAATATTTATGTATGTTGTTTTCTACTTTGAGCAATGCTTATGATGGTGGTAAACTTGACTGTGTTATATGTTTCATATCGAAACATGTTAGAACCAGTTATATTCCTCGCATGCACCAGTCACTCAAGCCATTTGACCTAATACACTGATATTTGGGGACCCTCTCCTGTTATTGTTCTGTTAGGTGCCCGATACTATGTGACA